GGGACCCTTACCTTTCTTCAGCACTAAATTAGCAAAAGTGACTAAAATAAAACCATATAAATGTTTTGACAGGGGAAAGCATTACTCATCATTTATGGTGCCAAGGATAACAGCAGAAAATTCTGATTCATTGTCATATGTTTAAACTTGTGGTAATAACATTGCAAATACTACATTTGGAAACTGATCAAAACAAAAAAATAGAGTATTTTAATGTTTTTCATTTATTTTCAAGGAAAAAAATCACATTTAAATTACAACTTAATCAGGTACTTAATTTTGTTCTTATGTATAGAATTAATAAACTTTGTTCTGAAATTGGGACCTTATTTGTTGTAATAGTTTATATGGTAAATAATTGCATATTCAGGATTTTGTGAAATGGGTCATTGGGAAATATCATGAAGGAAAGACATTTATAAAAAACATTATTTACAAAAATGATATCCACATATTTGTATCCTAATCTATAAGGCAAGTAACATTTAAAATATGTTGTTTCATGATTATCCTCAACAAGTCAATACAACACATTCATATTACCAGTGATCAAATACAAAGCTTTGCTGCAGTATGTCAAGTGCAACAAATCTTTGTATCTTTTACAGTTTTTCTCTGAGAACATTAGGTAAGCAGCAAAGTTTTCATCACAGACTAAGCAGTAACTAGGGCATCATAGACTAAAGATACAGTATATTTAATTGCATGTGTAGGCTAAAAAGGCCAGACTAACTTTTTAACTTAAATCTTAAAAATATACTTGTGAAACTTAATCCACATATTTAAACATTTTATACACAAGGTATTTTATAAAACAATATATAGGGTAGTACACTTGGAAATCCAATTCACTTCTGGGACTTAGTGTAGGTGTTTGGAGCATTACTAACATAAGAGTTAGTAAATAGGGCCCAATCCTGTAAATACTTGCACTCATGCTGAAAGTTAAGCATGTGCGAAGTTCCACTGAAGACACATACATAAATGTTTGAGGGTTAGGGCTTTACACTGTAATATCTTAATTTGACTCAATCCACCCAATGACAATGTACATTTTCACAGAATTTCTCTGACCTGAAGTAATTGGTTGATATCATTATCTTTGGAAAATCTTGGACTTCCTATAAGATGCCTATAAGATTTTTATTGTCTTAGGTATACAGTGGGGGAGAAAGATGTGGTTTTAAACAGTGCACATTTGGCTTAAGAATTAAACTGCAATACCTCATTTACACAAAGATTTGCCAAGCAACTTGTAAGAAACAAGTAAGTTAATTTCAAACAGAGGATCAATAATATTCTTCTAGACCCTCTCATTAAAAATGCTGATTCTGGACTGACTTTTCACATACTGCTTGGCCTGTAGTGAAGTCCTGCTTATGTGTAAACCTTTGAATAACATCACCAAATGAACACTTGAAATTGTCAAGAAAAATTGACCAAGCAGCAACATTTGTACTCCCACTCTTAAAGATAAAGGGGAAAATCGCACAGTGAGAGACCATTGCCTTACATTTCTATTGCTCATTTCTAGCCATGTTTAATGGTGCAATAACTAAAATACTGACTAGCATAAAAGATGTCCAACTCCACAAGAATTCCCTTCCTAGTAAACTTGCAAGGAAACAAAAACTCTGGTTTTGGAATGCAGTCTTTTGAGAGAGTAATTTCCTTTCAGGAAAATAGCATTTTGTGTAATAATATATATTTTGGTCACGGTAAGCTTTAAAATGAAAATTTTTAAACAAAGATTGTTTTTACATAAGATTACCCATTAATAAGAGTTGGGGAAATAAATCTATATTCCATATATCAAACTGGTTCTGTGAAGTCTATGCCAAAATAGATGTCAGAAGTTTAAGTGTGACAATATTTTGTACTGTATTTAGGAAATTGTCAAGCTATTTCGAGTTCTTCTGTAAATTCAGAATTCTGAGTACCTTTCAGTGAAGTGCATACAGACAGGAACTGTACTCAACTTAATGTCAAGTTACTGTACAGCTAGAAAACTGAGGAACAAGAATGGCATGAAAGATCGGAGGAAAACCATCATTACCTTTTTATGTTGCATTGTAAACATTCAGTAAAAGATGTTTCACATTGTTCCTCTCAGGCTGTCTAA